AAAATGCATATGCAATAGAAGAATCCATTTGTTAGTCACTGAGAAAGAATTAGCAATTTTCATTTAACGACAAATACAGCAGTGTAGGTGCTGGAATTCAGAGTAGGGGAAAAATGCATTAACTGGAAAAAAAGTTTCTTTTCTCATTATTGGAGTATCATAATTATAGTTGAATTTCACCATGTACAATTGCTCCTTGATGGTTCTTGTTGAGTAATTTCATTCAATAAGAGTCTGTCAATACAATTCTTTCAAATGTCAGTTTATACAATATCAAGAATAATGGGCTCACTCAGGTGCACCTGGAAATTGTAATAAAACATTAATTTTGGACAAAACTCATAATCATCTGGTTCAGTACTCTACAGTTATCTCTGAGTTTTTGAGGAGCTCCCTAGAATAAATGCAAACATTACAATCTATGTTATACAACAAGGCACAAATAACCAGGCAGTAAAGTACTGAGAAAGGAATATTCTCTGTATAATGTACTTTATGAGAAGACCTGTTATTATCTAGTCCAAGACAGGAGTGAGTAAACTGTTCTGTATCACTTCTACATTTCTGGAAAGTAAGTGCACCCTCATTTCTTGCATGCAATATATTTTTTGAGGTTCACAAGGGTGGATTGTTTTATCAAGCCTAATTTTTTTTTGCTTCCATTTTTCCTGGATAATTAACCATTGCAAATTAAGTGGTAGGAAATAACTGATGCTCATACTTCATTAAAAAGGTCACTTCATGATACTTTCACAGAAGATTGAGAGAGGTGCTCTGTGAATGAAACAGGGAACAAGGGTCCAGCTGCTGACCGTGGGGAGATCAGAGCAAGCAATGAAGGTCATGAATATGGCAAGAATAATTTTGATGGTTTTTCCCCCTTTCCTGCCAATGCAGTTTGACTGCTGAACAGCATGAAGGGATCTGGGAGGTCTGCTTAACAGGAACTTTTCCATAGTTTTTAACTATGAGCCTGACACTCATCTCTGGTTCTTGTCAATAAAAAAAAAAAAGAAACTCAGGAAAGGAGTTTAGCTTGAAAGGAACAGTAAGAGAAGTATTTGCTGTCCCTTCCTTTCTTTCCAGCTCAGCAAGCTTAACAACCTGTCTGGCTCTTCAAAGACAGCAGCACACTGTGAAGTTTTCTGTCTGTAACTTCTGCCAGACAACGGTGGGCAGGCATTTACACAACAAACCCGTTCCACATCGCTTTAATCAAGAGCTGCAGGAGTACACAGCAAGAGTAGTAACCTAAGAATTTCCTCAAAATGGAGCAGAGAACACTGTGCTGAGCTGGAACTTGAGGAAATAGATGCAGCAACTGCAATTTATCATTTGGGTTTTCACAACATATGTTTATGTGTGTGTGTGCAACAGGAAGGGCTAAGCTTCCATAGCTTATGCCAGTGTATTTATGATGATGAGTGTAACCTGCTAAGTGGTTTAAGAATTCTATTTAATATATTCAAGGTTATCACTTGACAAAAGAGTACTTATTATCCGTCCTGCATCAACTAAGTCATGTGAATTTGTACGGCTAACAGGTGGAATAACTAGAAACTAAGTAATTTGTGACAGAAATGATGGGTAAATCAAAAGGAAGCTATTGTCTGGAAATGGGCTTGTTTTTGTAAAAATCCAGGATGTATTTTGGAGGCCTGCTGAAAGCTTTGCTTCTAGTGAAACAGCTGTATAGTAGTGACAGACTTTCAATGTAACTATCAAATAGAAGCACTGTTGCTTTAGCAGTTATGTCTAGGCTTAAAAAAACCTCCATTTAAGGCAATCTATTTATGCAGAAAGATGTAATGCCCCATCCCAGCAGCATAAATTAATCCTTAAATTGGCTAATCTTTAAGTTCTCTTTTTGCATAAGAGAACCTCTGCAGACACCAAACCACATAAAACTGAACATGAGCTGTCAGTGCAATGGTAAAAGAAATACACTCCCCTCAACTACTGAGTGAGAAGGAGAAAGGGAAAAAATGAAACCAACAGCTGCATTGCCCTGCCAAGCTGTTTTCCAGATACTTAATTATATCAGCTTTCCAGTGTAGTTCTGTGTTTCACTGAAACCTCTGTGGTGAATTTTGCAGAAAAAAAAATGTAAAAGCATTTTGTCTTCAGTAAGGAATAAGTTTTCTGAGTATTTGGAAGGCAATCTGCCACTTAGCTTGACTTAAAAGTTTTGGTAAATAAAAAGCATCTCATTATCTTTGTTCCCAACGACCCTAATAGCAGAATAATGCCGGCGTTTTAAGTCTCCCGTGTAGTTAAATTAACTGAAATCTTACACATTGATGCCATTAGGTTCTAATGCAGCAGTTGTTAAATGTGAAGTACTCCTGTTAGGCTCTGAAACCCACAGTCCAACATGAGCCCCTCATCTCAGATAATGGGGGTGGGATCACTGCGCCATCAAAGGCAGCAGTCGGTTGTGCTGCCCTCCAGACCTGACACACAAACAGTCCTCTCGCTTTTAATGAGACAGGGACAGCCTGAGACAGCATCAGCACTGCGATGGGCAGCTGATTTTGCCTGCCTGCTGCTGTTTTAAGAGCCAAACCCTTTGGCTCTCTAAGGCCTAGAGAGAGATCCTTAACTATCTCTCTCATCCGTGTGAACAGAGATATCACTGCTTAAATCCCTTCTTGGAGCACTGTTGCTTTGGATGTCTCTGTTCCAGAGAAGAGGTCAGGTGTTCAGTGCAGTGTTTTTCAATACAAAGGAACAAAGAATACATCCTTCCCTTCTCTGTACTTAAGTGATTAAGGATTCAGTGATGAACACATATTTTCCACCGAATCATGTGCAGTAAGAGATTCAATTCTGACTCTCTTGCATCCCACATCAGTACCCCCTTGTGCAGACTTGAGTTGGTTTGTTTTTTTTTCTTTGTTTGTTTGTTTTTAGTGTGGGTTTTTGTTCGTTTGTTTGTTTGGGCTTCTGGTTTTGTTTTCAAAAAATGCAGTGAATGTTTTTTGCCCACAGGTGAAGCAAAGCTGGTTTTAGCAGTCTAGAGAGTTATCACAAAATGGCAATGTCTTCCTCTGGTCATCTCTGATACAAGAGAGGCAATTCAGAATTAAGACTGTGCTTAATGTAGATACAAGTATGATGAAGTAAAAAAGAAGAGTTAAACAGCAACACTACAGGTAAGAGACACCTGCTAAGAACAATTTCTGACTTGCACTGCAGAGTTTGATGCCACCTAATCCCCCACCATGCACAAGAACACGTCTCATCCATTGGATTTATCCCAGTTCTTTACTGGCTTTCAACTATGTGACAACCCTCACTTTCCAGAAGGTGGGAGTCTCTCCCTTTCTATGGGGTTGCTGCTTGGCTGGATTTTTTTTGTTTGTTTTCTTTTTTTGTTGTTGTTATGATCAAACAATAACATTTATCTCCATTGGCTTGCTCGATAGAGGTTACACATCCTGTAGCAGCATTTCCATTTTTTCCTGTTTTCAGTGTTTCATCAGACTGAATCAAAATTATTAGTAAAAGACATTGGACAGCAAGGCATTATGAATGAGTTTTACTAAACAAACCACATTTAAGAGTTTTAAGTCCAATAAATGTGATAAAAAGCTTTGCAAGCAATCAGAAAACAACAGTCCTGAGGGCCTTACAAAATAAACTTGTAGGTAGGTACGTAGTTGAGAAGCCAGTTCATGAGTGCAGTTAGGCCATTTCTAATTTAATAGAATCAGTGGGATGCTCTATACAACACTATGCTCAAAACAGAGAATTTTATGGGGCATCCAGTATTTCCTCTTTGACACTGATGTATGGTTACAGATACCTGCAAAATAGCTAAGGGCCATTAAACACTCAGAGATATCCCATGGAGAAACAAATATGGAAAGAGTTTTGAAAACTGTCAACAAAAGAAACCCAAATGGTCATTAGAAAAGACATCAAAGCTGCTGAGAAGCTTCTATTCAAAGAAAGAAAGTAAAAAAAGGAATAATACCAATTTAAAAAAAAAAGAAAATAGTGAGGCCTAAAATTAATGCAATAGATAAAATGGGGCATAGAGAAGTAAAATTGTTTCTTTTGTATAGCAAGTCAATAACAGTTTTTCAATCTTCTCCCTGCTTTTACCATATTTTTCTTCTTTAAGAAAAACTTTAAGTAACATTAGAGGTGAGGTGTCCTGAAAAGATACAAGTGTGACATTTAGCCCATGTACAGATTCATTTTACATAGAAATATATAGTTTGGAAAGGAACAGAACTGAACTCTGATCCAGTTATAGCTATAATTGAGATACATGTATTTATTCTTTTGATGGAAGATGGTGTGTAATGGTTCCAGAAGAGAATGGATAACACATCCTTTCTTGGGATGGATGCCTCTAATCTGCCCTTCTATCCTGTTTCAGGCCAGTGTCTGACAGCAGCCTGTTTACCTGGAATGAGGTTATCATTCCTGGCCTACACTCAACCTTATGCCAACCATCTGAGCTCCCTCGTGCCATCATGAGGTGGTTTGAGATAGAAGTTGAAACTACAAAAGCCTACAGAGGATTCAAAAGCTGTATTAACACACAATTGAGTTATCCCTCTCCAAATTTGCTTTGCTTCCGTGTTTTAGCAAGGGAATGTAAATTTTTAGGCAAGAGTCACAGAGTCACATAAATGCTGAGATTTTACAGTGGCATTTTTAAAGTTATCTGTCTTTGGTGCATATGGACATGCTTCATGAAATGTATGATTAGAGCGTACCAGGCCTGCTCTTCCAATATTTAGGTTGGCCACTTCACTACAGATTAGTTTCCCTCACAATTTCTCCTTCACATTGATTCAGGAAAATGACTAGTTCCCAAAAAATAATAATTTTTTCCATTTCCTTTTGGTCCAGCTTTTTATTGGAAGGAACATTTAATCTCCCTGTTTGACCAATAGCAAATTTTATTTCCCTAAGATGTGTGAGAGATGGGGCAGAAGGTGAAAGAAAAAAATCGATGTGGGGGAATAGGCTGGAATACCTACCAGAGGAAATGCTGGGGGGTAAAGATCCACCTCCTGACACTGGATGTGAGGCCAGGATGCTATTTAAAAATCCCGCCCTCAGGAATCTCGAAAGAGACTTCACCCCAATGGTCGGAAAGGATCCTTTCAAAGAGATAAAAATGATCATTAATTAAATGACTTGTTCTTTGGCTGACAAAAGAAGTTGACTGTTTAAAGAAAGAACAATCAAAACTCTGCAGTTAACAGTGGTTTCACTGGAACAGATTTCATAAAAAGCAGTTAAAAGTCTTTGTTTGCTTTTTAACCAAGTCATACAATACACGGCTTTAACCAGAATAAGGTTTTCTGCATACTGTGAAAATGGAGAATTCCAGCACTTCTGTGAGGAGCAGAAAAATTTGGTATTTCAACAGTAAATTACACCTGTGGGATATTCATAATGCATTCCAAATGACTCTACCATGGAGGCATTTGACAGTTGTGTGCACAAATCAAAGGCAGACCAGTAGAGGTGAAGTTATACCAGCAAAGCTATTGTGTTAGTTATACTAGTATTCTAAAGCCACCACTTGACAAAAGTCATGTCAAACAAGGGGAAAAGGGAAACAGAATTTGCAGCTGCCTTGTGTCAGGGCAGCTACATCAGTCAGAACTTCTGTCACATCTCCCAACACCTGTCAATATATTGATACAGGAAAAAACCAGGAGTACAGACATGGCCCCTTTCTGCTTTGCTCTCTCTGGAAGATTAACACATTTTATGCTTTCAGTATAATTAACTGTGTATTCTTCTCATTGCCTAAAAGCACAAAGAGTCTTTAGCATTTGATCCAGCTTCCAGCACAAATACAGTGATCTGGAAACATCATTTCAACTGGTTCACATTAGTGCTCAGTGAATGAGCACTGAGGGTGGATCTGAAATGAGAGCTCTACATCTTAGTTAAAGGCAGAGAGTCAAGATTTTCCCACTTGGCAATAAATTTAAATTGACAGTCAGAATAATCTGTGTATTTTTGCAAGTGCATCTTGTAAGCACCCATCCAAAAGTTTAGGCAAGGGCAAGTTTGATCTCATCATCTTGTGGGTGTTTCAGAGTTGTTCTTCTAAGAGACTGAAAACATCTTGATCTTTATACACAATGAGAAAAATAAGTGGCCCTCAACCATTGGGATTTTTTTTTTTAACTAGTAAGAGTGAGGAAAATTTACCCTCAAAACACACATGCATTTGCTGAACTCAAAGTAACCTAAGAGAGCTTTGAATTTTTTACTTTTATTTTCAAGTTAGAGTTCTATTGTTTCTCCTCAATACACTTTTCCTTTAAATTTGTTAATTAGACTTGCTGCAGTCTGTGGAAAAAGAATTCATTTAATTAGTGTTCTAGATGAAGTACTTCTATATCTGGTGGCTAAAGATAAGGCATAAAAGTTTTCCCTCTGGCTACTCCAGAAAAGTCTTTGGCATTCTTGTAAAAGTGTTTCTAAATTCCATTGTTTTAATTTTAAAATATTTACAGAAGTGATCATGGATAGACAGAACAGAATGCAATACACAGAAATCCAATTTTAAAATGGAAAATTGTTCCATTAACTCCAAGATGTTTGGTACTAAACAGCATCTTAAAACATAAAGTCTAAAAAATGAACATACGAAGACTTCCCATATAAAACAGCTTCACTGTTTCAAAATATAAATTACACCAACCATAAAGTCCAGCCACTGCGAGTCACATGCCATATGTACAGACCTTCAGAAAACCCAAACAGCTTGAGCTTCAGAATTGACATTTTCCTTTATTTAAATGCTGTTAAATTGCAAGTAACTCAAGCTTCCTAGCAGTCTTAGAATAAGTAACTTCGTTATAGGAAATAATGAAGATAACCCCAAGTTTATTTCACTTATTATAAATATTCAGAAATAAAACCAAGGAAGAACAAATTTAAAGCAATTAAATCTGTTAATACTAGAGCTAGAGGGCTAAAATTATTGAGGTTTTATAATCAGCAAATAACTAAAGGAATACATATAAATAATGCTTTTCACACTTTTAAGTTAGGATTCAGTTGCTTAGGTGTAAATGCTTTGTACCATTTGAGATTCTCTAGAAAATCTGAGACATTCACAGTTAATGTGACTTTACATGATTTACACTCTTTGAAAGTGGCAGTGAGAGGCAAAGCAGCAGTTGGGTATCTAAGAGTAGGCACTTAGAGTCATTTTAGGCAACTGAATCCCACCCAAACAGTCTCCTGTCACCTCAGAAATGTCTCTGATTAGGTAGAACACAGAGTTAGAAGAACAAGACCTCATTTGGTCTCTTCCAGAAGTCCACAAACAGCTTGGGAAAAGGACAAGGTTGATAACATTCAGCCCTGATCAGTATCCACCAACAAAAAACTGCAGAAAAATGAGCGGTTGAAAGTTCATTCATCTTAAAGCGTGCATGGTCCTAAATTAAAATACAGATGGATGCTTTTGGTTTTATCACCTGGATAATGTGGGCAGGGTTTGACACTTTATATGTGGAAGTTGATTACCACTGCAGGTGAAGAAAATTAATTCTTTTTAAGCCACATCAATCACCACCAGAAAGGCAGAGGCTTGATAAGAGATTTGGGCGTTTATGGTAGTTTCAAAGCTTACTCAAATTTTTACTTGTTTGCATAAACATTCATGAAATTTTTGAAAGAATCACAGAATGGTTACAGGTGGAAGGGACTACTGGAAGTCACCTAGTTAACCATCTTTCCTGAGAAATGCCATTCTGTCAGTGCACATCACACACAGATTAGTGCTTTACACCGGTTCTGTTGTTTTGTGTAAAAATTGACACTCATTTTTGCAGTGGGTGCTCTTACACTAATGAGAAGACCTTTCAGTGTGAGGTCTTACCGGTTCTAAAGTGAAAAAGGAGAAATGAATATTAAGCCATGATTCCTCAGTGCCCTGAAATACAGTTGTTATTTCATAGAATCATAGAAACAACCGGGTTGGAAAAGATCTCTGAGATCATCGAGTTCAACCCTTGATCCAACCCTGCCGTGGTTTCCAGACCATGGCACTGATGCCACATCCAGTCTCACCTTCAACACCTCCAGGGATGATGACTCCACCACTTCCCTGGGCAGCCCATTCCAATGTCTGATCACCCTCTCTGTAAAGAATTTCTTCCAATACCCAACCTAAACCTCCCCTGGCACAGCTTAGGACCAAGCCCTCTTGTCCTACTGTTGGTTCCTGGGAGAAGAGACCAACCCCCACCTGGCTACAACCTCCTGTCAGGGAGTTGTAGAGAGTGAAGAGGTCTCCCCTGAGCCTCCTCCTCTCCAGGCTGAACAATCCCAGCTCCCTCAGCCTCTCCTCACACCACTTGTGCTCCAGTCCCTTCACCAGCCTACTTGCCCTTCTCTGGACCTGCTCCAGCACCTCCATGTCCTTCCTGAACTGAGGGGCTCAGAGCTGGACACAGCACTTGAGGTGTGGCCTCACCAGTGCTGAGTCCAGGGTAAGAATCACTTCCCTGGTCCAATTTAGCAGCTTACAGCCATGGATATATTGAGGATAAAACCCCAACCTGCTCCATAGTTACACACTATGTATGAACATAATGCCACCTTAATGTGGGAAACTGCATTAGTTACAGATATTAGTTGGAAAAGTGCACTGAAACTGTAAAAATACGTGGCAGTACTCTGACTAGCTGACACTTTGTGAAGTGTACACCATTTACTGAGTCCTGTGACACCAATTTATAACTCAGTGTAAATTCTTCTGTTTCACAATAATTACAGCTAAGTGCTTGTGCTCAGAGGCAGTGGGGGAGTCCTGAATCAATCAGCCTGCCTTCCACCTTCAGCTGTTGTTCCAAGGGGAATATCATCCCACAAATTGTTAGAATTTGATAGGGAAATCACTGGTACAGCATCCTGAACAGGCATGGTTTTAGTAGCATATTATCACACTGAGCAGAAGGGCAGGAGTAGAGATGGCTGGGTAAAGGAAATCCATATGCTTAGTTCAGCTCCAGAGCACATCCATTAATTCACACCCATTTATTAGCACGGCGTGGTGACAGCGTGGCCAGCCAGGAGAAACAGCCATGTCCCCTCACACCACAGGCACATCCCACAGCCTTGGCCAGTGACAGAGCTGTGCTGGAGAGTCCTGGATCTACAGTGGAGGGGAGTTCTGCCTTTGGACAGATGGATGGGTGGGTGGGTGGGTGGGTGGATGGATGGAGGGATGGAGAGAACGGCACCAAACACCCCTGGTGCAACACTTGTGGGAACACAGTGGACTAGAGTGAATGTTTGAACAGGGGGTGGAGGGGCCCTTGTGGGCTACAGTAAAAGCATTTAAAAGCAACCAACTCATGCTTTAAAACTCTCAGGGACTGAGTGAGCAAAGAAATCTTAAACTGACCCATTATTTTTGCTACTGAGGAACTTTCTCACCAATTCCCATGAGTTTTGCACCCATATAGTGCCAGCACAGCACTGGCTGTTCTCAGAGGCCCACGTGCCACCCTGTCCTCCTCACCAGCTGCTGGTTTCTTTGTCCCTCTGCCATCAGCAGAACTTGACTGGATGCCATGGCAGTCTCTGGGCCCACAGGACTAACTGGGATGGCATCTGAATCTGCTAAGTTGTGCAGGTACAGACAGGCTGGGCTATCAGTTTGTTCCGTTTGTGCCACAGTCCCTGAGCTTCCCTGGGAGCAAACTAATCTTTTTTTTTTTTTCCCCACTATAGCAAATTGTACTGTCACGGGTGACAGCGGGTCTGTCGGCACCTTGGCACATACTGACGAAGCAATAGATGTTGACCAGATCAAAGTATACCCCTGAGATGGACTGAAAAGAGAGGACTGAAAATGGAGGCCCTGATCCTGACAACATACTGATGCACCCTGAAGAAGCTGTCCCGTGGGAACAGAGAACACTGTCTCATGAGAACAGGAGCACTGTCTCATGAGAACAAGGACCTGTTTTGAACGAGAGTGGTTGGGAAAAACATCAACATGAGAGAAAAATAAGAGCAGGTGCTCGGGACTGTTGTGGGAAAGAACTGGGCTGTTTTGAGAAAGAGCAAAGTTGTTGTGAGAAAGTAGAGTTTAGAAAATGCACCTATTAGCTGTAAG